GAGGAATGCCTAAGGAATGCCTAAGGATTGCTTTAACAACATAAGAGGCCGAGCTAATGGTTAAACAAATTTATAATATGTCATCCAGGAATTTTATTAATATCTCAATAACGACAGTAAACGTTTAGTTCCATTATTTACATCTAAAATAATATATAATTAACATTATATTTAATTTTTCATATTTTTTTATTTATACATTCGCATAAAATAAATATATTTTTTACATTGTAAATCAAAAATAGAAAGCATTACAATATCTTCAAACAAGACATCAATATCTATCGATATTTTTAAAATATTTAAACATTTTAATAGTTTTAGCAATGGCGCCATAAAATTTATTGTCAATTTTTAACTGTAAAGATTAACACATCTGCAACATAATTTTGTGAATCTTTTTTAAGATTCTTCTGATTGCAACTGCACATTAACAGTATGTAGTGATTACCTACATGTGAAATCATTCCTAAATATACCTCTGCCATTCATTACTGAAAAAAATTTTCAAAATGTTAGGACAGCTTTTATAATCTTTATTTAAGAAATATTTAAAGGTTTATAAAATTTTAAAATTCTATAGATGGCGGATATTAGGAACATATTGCAACCAACATAATGCTGACTCAATTCTGTAAATACACTCTGGTTTTTCCCAAATTCACTAAAGCATTATCAGATCAGAAAGTTGACATGTAATTTATTGATAATCCCGAATCTGCTATATTTACCATTATATGGTTAGCTATGTCTTTGTATTTTTCACTATTTGAGGGGAAAAATATTAATAGTTATCTTGAAAAGTCCTTAATTTTGTTGAAATAGCGAAGGATCAAATAAAATATTTTAATATTTCCCTTAGATGCATCTGTTAGAATTGCATATGTATGCCCCTCTTTCAAATCATCAAGAATTGACCCCCTGAATTCAGGTTCTAAAACATTGATGATATCCTTGGTCATTTTTGTTCTACAAATAAAATTTTCATTTATCTTGGAGTCGTTAAATATTATGGGGAAAGATTCTATCTACATTGTAATGATAAGTAGCTCTGTGAATGTTGTACTACAAGATAAGTGATTACAATTGCTGCAACCGTAGTTGCATCTGTATTATTTCTTATTTTTGGAGAATATTTTTGTTTTGCAATGTATGTAGATACACTCTCCTGCTATGATTATAATAATGTGATTGAACAATAATAAATAAAATAATTATCATTGAAATGAGTACAAGATTACCTTATTATATATTTAAACGTGATACGTGAGTGATAATTAAGCGCCTATACCTATAATTTTATACACACACACAAGGTACATTTCCAATTGCGGATGTTTTGCGGGACATTCGCATAAAATATATTTTTACATTGTAAAATTAAAATCGTTTGTTTTTTTATAAAATTTTATCTTGTTTACATTCTTTATTATAAATTAATATATTTTAATAAATCAAGATGTTTTTTATTTTGAAAAATTATAAAAAATAATAGGCGGATAATTAAGTCAATTCAATGGCCCGGCCGGGATTTTGCGGACCTTTTTTAGCAAATTTTTTATTTCTACCGAAATTTTCATATTTCTCCCGCAATTTTAATATTTCTCCAGAAAAATGCCAAATTTCTCCCTCAATTTGAAAATTTTGACCTGGCAACCCTGCCAGTGAGCCATTTATATTTATCGATAGAAAAATTACTTATGCAAGTCTTTATTTCTTTTTTTAAGTTTTGTAAAATTGGTTTTGGTCTTCCTTTTTCAATAATCAATTTTTTAGCATCAAAATTTCTTGAGCTAAATGATAATGTTAATAAATTTTCAATAATGCAATTAGAATTATTAAACATTAATAAAGGATTTTAAAAACGAAAAATTTTTTATTTTCAAAAAGTAAGGAAAAAAATATTATATAAAAAAATTTATTTCTCTTTAATTATTAAAAAAATAAGCATTTTTTTAATTACTTCCCCAATGCTTATTTTTTAATGGTAAAATTACACAATACCATGGCATGATTTTCTTTTTATTTATTAAAAAAATAAGCAATATTAAATTTGCTTCCCTCAGGTATATTTTTTTTAACGTAGTAAAAATAATGGTTAATTTTTTAACGTAGTAAAAATAATAGTAACTTTTTTAACGTAGTAAAAATAATAGTATTTCTTAATATAATATAGCAAAATGATAATAATTTTTTAACGTTAAAAAAATTTTATTAATCTTTTTTACGTTATAAAAATTATATTAATTTTTTTAACGAAGTCAATTTAGTTTATTTAGCATAGTACAAAGATTATATTAAGTTTATTTAAAAATTTTATAAAAAAAATTTCAAGGGAAGCAATGCTTCCCTTGCTTCTATGGACCCTTCGTCACTGAAATTTACGATTATTTTAAATATGTTTTTAATATTATGTGTAAGATACATATGTAACTGTCTAAAAGACCTAAATAGCGCTAGATAAATTTAATTTATTCGATCCAAAACATAGTGGTGAAATGAACTTAACCGCAAAACCGAAATATACTGTTATAATTTCCTAATGTAACTGTTTTAAGAAATTTTTGAAAAGTTTTAAAAACAAATTCGTGTACATTTAAACTCGGTTAAAAGTATATTGTCTAATTTGTTATTTCTCGTTCATGTTTTATAATAAAATAGAGAAATTTAAAATATTTTTGTTAATTTTTGTTTGGTTTTTTAAAAACATTTTTTATTAGAATGTTAGGTGTCAAAAAAATAATATCTATGATGATTTAAAAAAATTTGAAACTTGTAAAAAAAAATCAAAAGAACATAAAGGAACTATAGGCTTTGTAAATCGTAATAATCGAAAACTATTTATAATTTTAAATAAGTATCAGAATGGATTTAAACTGTCATGCCTTTGATGTGCTGTCCCAAACTTAGAATTTGAAGAGAGAAATATTTATATTTTAATATAACTGTTCATCTAATAGAAAAATCCTGTATTCTAGACCTAATGAATGCAGGCGCGTACGCAGGAATTTGGTCTGGGGGGGGGGGGGGGTAATAAATTTTTTTAAGAAATATTATTGTTTTTTAAAAATATCAAGCATAAATTTATTAGAACTAATAACTATTTCTAATACACAATTTTAAATTTATGTGAATTATAAAAAAATTATATGTAAAGAATCACTTAAATGACCATAAATAGAAATTTGATTTTTTTGAGTCTTTACACAAAAAATTTCTTAGGAATAATTGCATTTTGTATGTAATATATTTACAATGTAAAATCCAATCTTAGTTGTGATTGAGCTAATTTTTCAATTATCTCATCCTTGCTTGTCGTCAAATGCCTACGAATATTCAAAAGATCCAAACCTTTCCATCTACTTTCAGATGTTGTACTTCTTGGTATGTTTTTCAGAGACCTGTAGGCCAGGCCCCCGGGCTGGACAGTATTTTAATTTTTTTAAATATACCCAGGCTGGGCCCGAAATTTTTAAAAAAACACCCAAGCCGGGCCTGAATTATTTAAAAAAAACACTCAATCCGGGCTGTATTTTTTAAAACAGCCTATATTTGAAATCGTTATTATTAGCTATAAAAATCAAAAATAAATAAAATTTATTTTAAAAAAATCCGGGGCCTGAAAATTTTATTTAAAAAAAGCAGGGCCGGGCCTGATAATTTATAAAAAAAAACCCAGGCCAGGCCGTAAAAAATCTTTAAAAAAAATCCGGGCCATGCCCTGCAAATGGTACTTCTGCAGACCTCTGTTATTCTTCTTAAAAAAGAAAATGTTCTCTCATTAGTTTACCAATGGGAAGAGTTTATAAACCCTTTTATTACATTGGGAATTTAATCTAAAATGTGTTTGAAATAATGCAGAGCATCCATAGCATTTTGGGACTATATCAACCATAGTTAATCTTATAAACATAGTTATTTAGCTAGTAAGGCATCATAAGATACTTTAACATCTTCATAATAAAAATCAAGCAAATATTTTTTTTTCCATCACCATCTGAAAAAGGTTGGATAGGCTTTTGTGGAAGTAATATTTGCAGATTAGTAAGTGCTGCATGTTGAATTAAAAATCATTTATTTGGGTTATATATGTATCTGTATTTAAGATATACTCTTCTACTGATCCTATATTAATGTTTTAACGATGAGCTTGCCTTGCTATAAGTCGAGGGAGACAAATATTAAACACGTATAGCTCTGCTTTTGACTCAACAATAAAATATGAAATTCTTCATCAACTTTAGCCCTAATCTCCTTGAGTTCTGATGAAATGCTCTCAGCTATTCTCATCTTCTTAATCAAATCAATGTCATGTTTTTGAAAAGTAATACTTAAAATAGTTGTATAATTAAATAATGCATTCTAATGAGAAATAAAATTTGGAATAAGCATTGAATAATTTTCTTGCTTCTGAGGAAATATATCTTTCAGGTCATTGTGATATTTCAGTAATAGAATAAATAATCGGCTCTTCTAACTCAATAAAAGCTGTTACTGCTTGATGGCGGATACTCTATCTCGTTGGACAAGGTTGCAATCTCTTTCTCCCTGTTGGACAATTTCAGAAATAATTATTATTTGACTAGAAAATTAGTAAATAATACGCCACTAAAATTTAAAAATAATAGGTAAATTATACCAAGGAAAACTTGAAATCGAAATTAATTGATAAAATAACTTAGTAGATGAATGTGATAAATAAATGTAATTAAATATATATATGAGATAGGAATAAATATTAACAAATATAAATTATTATAAACAAAAATATTTTTGAATAATATATCCTACATTTTTTGGCTTTAGGGGGGATTTGCCCCCCCCCCCGCTGCGTCCAATGAATGAATGGTATAAAAACAATCCTCAACCATTATTTTTAGTTTGCAAAAAGGAAGGAGAACTAAGTAATATTTATCTTTAGCAATCCATTTTATTAAGTAATATTTATTTATAGAGACCACAGTTAATGAAATTCTCCCAATTTATTGAATAAGAGGCCACATGCGGTAAGCTCATTTTTATACCTTCATTCATTTTAAAATGGTAATTTTCAAATTGATATATTTTCTAAATGTTATTTTTTTTAGCTTCCTTTATCATTACTTAAAGCTGTTCAAAACCACCCTATGGTAAAATATTTATATATTTTATATAATAGAATATAGTTAGTGGAATTAAAAAATGGCGAAACATATAATGGACATTTAGTAAGCTGTGATACATGGATGAATATTATTTTAAGGGAAGTTATTTGCACTTCTAAGGTTTGATCAAAAATGGATGATTTTAAATATTTAAAATAGGAAGGAGATAGATTTTGGAAGATGTCTGAATGCTACATTAAAGGCATTAATATAAAATATATGAGAATTCCTGATGAAGTTATTGACATGGTTAAAGAGGAAACAGTCAGTGCTAACCCTAAACAATTAACACGATCAGGACCAAAAACATTTGCTAGAGGTGGTGGCTTTAAAAACAAAGGTAAATTATTTTATAATTTGATCTTATATGAAATAATTATTTTATAGGAAGAGGTGGCCCACCTAATGCCCAAAGAGGGGGTCATAATGCCCCTAGAGGTGGTCAAAAGAACACACAATCTAGGCCTAAACATTGAATATATTTTCTAAATAATATGTAAGATTTGTATTTAAATAAAATTTTTAAAATTATTTATGAAACAAGTGGTCATATGCATGTTAATTGATTGAGTAAAATATTATATTCAAACTTAATTATAATATGCTCTGTTATGTTTATCTATCTTCTATAAAAAAAATATTATGTAATGCTAACTGGTATAGCTTGTTAGAGAACTGTCTATTCAGGAAGGAATAATATTTGAAATAAAGGATTAAGAATATTATTACGTTCAACCTTATAAGCTTCATATGTAGTCTCCTTCCAAAGAACTTCTTAATTTTTTTAGTTTACAAATCTTATCCTATTCCTTTACTTATTTTGTTTTTATATTAACCTTTTTTATAATTAATTTTACTTAATATTTGATTAGGGTGGATTAGAATATTTTTTGGCCAAAAAATGAGCCTGAGTGGCTAATTAGGTCATTTCTGACTAACCTAATTTTTCCATTAAAACCTGTAATGATATTAATATTAAAGATTTACAGTATTCGGTATGGAAGAAAATTGATTTCAATTTATTTACTTTTTTAGCAGTTTTATATATTTGTTCTAATTTATTTATAAAGTCTTTACTTTTACTAACTGTCATCTGATAAATAAGAGTTATGGGTATACCAAGAACAAATTATTCAATTATTGAATACAGATATGAGAAATATATTATATTCATCAAATAATTTTATTATATTTGATCAAATTTTTAAGATTATTAGTAAAAATTAGTGCTGTAAACATTACATCAAAAAAGAAACTTGTTATGTTTGAAAAAAGTAATGTGTTACTCGTTACTATAGTTGGGTAATTACTATATTTTTAGCAATTTAAGACATTCAAAGATTTTAGCTGAAAACTATCACTTTGGCCTTATAGTTTTTCTTAAAATAAATTTGTCAGAAGCTAATATAAAAAACGCCTTATTGTTAGAAAATTTTCTCCTGCAAATGGCTAAAGATATTGCCTAATTATCTGACATTTAGCTACTACCCAACATTCTCGCTACCTTGTGGAAAAAGGAACACGTTACATAAAATACTATACATTGTATATAAATTTTCTTTTTATTAATATTTTCCCCTATATATAATAAAAAGAATATATTATAATTAGTGCTAAGTAATAGCATTGCTACTTTTTTGAGGAAGATGAGGAAGGCCATTCGTTACTTGTATAACGGGTTTTTTTAAGTAAAGGTAACAGAAACATTACTTAAAATTTTTCCTTAAAAAATATGTAAAAAATGTTTATTTTATTAAAAAATTTATGTCGAATTTTTAATTCAGATCAACCACCAAAGTTCTTTAATTTTATTTATTATATTTTTTTTGAATTTTTAAAGTCTTGTTAATCTAATTAATATTGTATCAGTCAAGTCATTCTAGAATTGGAGTGCTCCTTATGACATTTTTAATATTTTGAGTTAGGAGTAGAAAAAATTAGGTTTAAAAATATTAATTTTTGGCCAAGTTAGAACACTGTCAATTTTGGGCAATTTTCATAATTTTTGTTATATATAATGCACTATCTATGATATTATATTTTATAATAACCTGCTGTGCATCTTTTTTGAATTTTATAAAAAAGAATTACCATCAAATATTAATGGGAAAAATTATTGGTTAAATATTGGCTTTTTTTATTCAGCTAAATTATTATTATGAATTAAATAGAATTTAAATGAAGATTGTGTCTATTATATGATTGATATAATTTGAAAATTTATAGTAGTTAACTGTTAATTTTGCTTTTATTTAATAAATTCTCAAAGTTGAAATGGGGCATTTTGAACAAAAATATAATTTATAGAATATTTGTTTTGCTTACTCACAAAATTTTTTTAGGCTATCTTGGAAATAATATTATAAATTATCTCTCAATTTTTTACTTATATTATTCTATAAGATTTTCTTATATTTGAATCTAAACTTTAAACTCGTTTTCCTAGTTTTAACAATTTTGCAAATGGAGCACTCCAATTCTAGACTGACCTTAATTTATATTATCTAATTTTAGAATTTATTTCATAAAGAATATGTCAATACAGATTCTTTTTTTTCTTTTCTTGGTTCTTAATATTTTTTATATTTTTTTGATGAATTTTTTTATAATAAGAATGTAATGGGAGAGAAATTACGGTTGTTCAAACCACTATCGGTTTAATAGCATTATCGCACCGATTTTAATGAGGAAGGAGAAAATGTAAATGTAGTTAATTTGGTGAAGGAGAAAATGTATATATAGTTAATTTGATGAAAGTATGATAATGATCAAGGTGCCAAGATTCAGAATAAGGAAAATGAGCTCGACTTGCAAAAACAAAATGGATGAGTTAGATTTTTAAGTTAATCTTATTGGAAATATTTTACAACTGATTTACGGTATCACCAAATAATCCAACATTTAATGGTGTAAAAAGCCAGATTCGGGTATATTTAAAAAAACGGCCCGATCAAAATTATAACCAAAATAATATTGTTTGGAGATTTTGCTCATAGATGGCAGAAAGGTTTGGACATCTATTTGCCAAATGACTAGGCTTACATAATATTATTTTGGCTACGGGTCGTTTTTAAAATTCAACCCTTATCGGGCTTTTTGAGAACAAACAACAATATTTGTAAAAGACTGTTAATAATAATCAAAGATGATTTTCTTTAAAGTTTTATAAATACGTATAGGTTGAATAATTATCTGTTGCATTTTTTTGATTTCCTTGAAAGAGCTATAACTTAAAAAATGGTGAATCAAATCTATGCTAGAAGGGGTTTTATCAACTGGAAGTTGTTGTATACAGAAGCCTTGAGAAACATTATAATTGCAGAATACACAAAAGAAGAGGATCATAAGACTAAAATATTTTTCCAATTTTTTTGTATTAACTAATTAGCAAATTTAAATAAAAATAGCCATTTTAATTTTCTAAACATAAAAAAAAATTAAAATTTTTATTGGCAACTAATATTTGTGAAGAGGGATTAGTAATTGAGATTGTTAAAAAATTATTTGTTAAAATTTAGAAATTATAAAGATTGGTTACATCAGATTTTGTCAAATTTCTATATCATACAAAAACAATAAATGTTTTCAAATATTTTATATCAACTTTCATCATCCATATAAAGTGAGTCAATTTCACCATTAAAGAGAATTATTAGATAAACGTACTAGTAGTGAAAGAAAGGGTAATTTGGTTTTATTAGCACATGGGAAAAACAACCGATTAATTTTGGAAATGTTTTCAAGGTATTTAAAAATATATCTCAACCAAAATATATTGTTAATATTTAATTTTTGTTAGTTTTGCACTGCTCAATCATTGACATAACCAATAGTAATATAAGTTTTTTTTTCTAAATTAAATATATTTTATAATTGATTCCCTAACAAGTATTATGCAAGCGCAATTAAACTATCAACGTTATTATATAATATTAGTAAAATCATTAAATCAACTTATTTCTTTCAAGATATAAAGTCAATTCTCATCTTCCATCTAATTTATTTGATCATTATATATTTTTATATGTGGTATTTTTCAAATAAAATCTTATATTTTAATTTTGTGTTCAAATAATTTAAATATTCTTTCTATGGTGTTAAAAAAAATTTATTTAATTGCCCCCCTCCCCCAAAAAAAATTTACCTGCCCCTCCCCCCCTTATTTAGTTTAGCTAGAATTGGGCTTGTGTAAATAGTACTTATTTCTTTAGATGAAGGTGATTTAACTGCTCTGGCTTCGGTATGAAACCTTTTTTACACAAATAAAAAAAATTAAGTGCACATAGTGTAGATTGTCCGCTAATTCAAATATTTTAACCACAGAATCTTAAATCTAAAAACATAAGAAGGAAAAAATATGAATTCTGATAAAATTCTCATGAAGATACAAATTTGATGCCCAGGATACGGCCTTAATGCTTAGTAACGCTCTGCTAAGCACATAATCATTACTAAATATCGCTCGGCTAAAAAAGTGAGTAATACTGCGAATACTTGTGTCCAATATACAAGATCCATTTGTATCTTGAATAAAGTTTTTGACATTTTTAATATGCTACTTATACTGCTGCATTTAAGATATTTTATTTTCAAAGAAAACATTTTCATAATCTTGGCAACTTTTTTTCATATTTTTGTTTAAAAAAAATTAATAATCATATAACTTTATTTTTTTTAAGTGTTCTTGTATTAATTTCGAATCCCGGAAAATAAACCCTCAGGAAAAAAACCCCCGGAAAATAAACCCCCGGATTTTTTTTCATTTTTATAGAATTTACTTAAGACCTAATAATATAGGTATATTTTTATTTGGCCTACTCTCCATAAAAAATGCTTAAATAAGAAAAACTGATGTTTAAATTGGTACTGGGAAAAAATGCCTCAGTAAAATAACTATGTATTGTAAAAAAATTTTGCTATAGTAAAAATACAGTACCATCTTTAAATATGATATTAAATAGACTAAATTTGACAAAACTTAGAAATAAGAAATGTTTATTTTATTGGTAAATCATGATTATGTATATACAAATTTTATAATAATAATTATATGGGTCGACATCGAATATTGAAGGAAATCGCTCTTATAAAATCTGGAAGGCTTCGCACCCCATCACGGTATTCTTCGCAAAGTTTCTTTAGCCTAATCTGGTTGTTAGAACTCTGCTATTTTGTTTTTGATGTTCAACTACCTACGCGCCATCTTTCAAGTTTGGTTTCATCGGCAGCCACCTCGCATTTCATTTTTTTAATGAGTACCCAGATTGATGGGTGTTTATTCCCAACCAGATTAGAAAAACGATGATTCCAACCTTCGCATTGATTATTTGTTCGTTCTTCATCTGAGAGAGTGCTCTGATTCACGTTCCAGGTTTCTGGAGGAAATCGAGGCTCAATTCGACGTGTTTGGGATTGAGAATTGCTTCTTATGACCTCCCTTGATACTCCATTGACATAATTTTTATCGAAATAATCAAGAATAACCTTATCACTCGGACCGATCTCAGGAATGTTATTGCATTGCCCATATC